CCTCCCACATGCTAGGCAAGTGCTCCACCACTGAGCTACACCCCCAGCCCTCCCATAACGCTTTTAAGGGTGCTTGAAAAGGTTTTACTTTATTTTAAAAACAGGAAAAAAAACAAAAGAAGATCTCTTAGGTCAAAGAAAATTTTTAACATGTACTGTTAATATATTCATCTTGATACCAAGGCAATCATGAAAAAAAAATCATTATAATTTTTGTTGTTGTTTTTAATGGAGGATGGAGCCCTTGAAGGCAGAAGCAACAAGGACCCAGGAATTCATTATGTGGTTCTACCTAGAGCTTCCCAGAGGAATGCAATGTGTATTAGGGGCCTCGGTTAGTGCAGGAGCCAGCCAGATATAGGAGAAATGACGGAAGAATGGAAGGTGGGATGGAGGAGAGGCATCCAATGTGGTGTATTTATGGGGCTATAAGGGTGGTAAGACCATGTGAAGGCAAAAGCTCTATTTTAGTGGCAAGACTAGGTTTAAGATGTAGAATATCAACAGCTCTGTGTCCTCCTGCACTGCCATATCCCCAAGTCAGGCATGGTGCTCAAATCACAGTAATCCCTCAATATTTCAAAACATATAAATGGTTCTAGGTGTGGTATGGAAGCTACTAGACAGAAATAAGGTGTGTTCCAGTCACGCAATTCTTGAATAGTACCAGCTATACTCATTCCTCAATGATACATTTACTTCTTTTATGTCCATCTCTGCCAGTTATTCCTGCCACTGAATGTAAATTCACACTGAGGCAGACTGGACAGTGGCAAGAGCATTGGTCTTGGTCAGTCTTGACTCCTTCACTTATCAGTGCCAGAACTTGAGAAAATTCTTACCCTTGTGAACCTCAGTTGCCTCGTATGCAATTCAGAGATAGCTGCTTGCACACTGGACATCATGAAGATAAAAATGAAATAATCTGCATCACACACTAAAGCCACTGGCTCCTACATGATTACATTGCAAAGAAATAAAAATGCATCCTGTCAACTCTACATTAACACACTTCATAATTTTTTTTACCTAATAATGCTCCTAAAATTTAGCCCTAAATATTTGCAGTTAACTCATTTCCCACACAACAGAACTAAAGACATTCCTAAGTTAAAGAACGAAGATAAACAGCTACATGGTGAACCAGTTGATAATGGACCCTATCCCATCCCTGGGAAGATGGGAAGAGGATGGTTTACAGTTAATAGAAATTTGGATAAGCTACTTGGAATGAAATGTAAGGAGAAAAGGAGAGGCAGTGAGAAGAACAGGAGACTGTGCAAGTCACCACAGTGTCCTTGTTAAGCTGCTTTCCTAGGTAGGTGGGTCCTCAGAGCTTTTGTTAAAAAGCAACATAACCAAGGCTAAGTGACTCACTGGTGGATGGCACGGAGAGCAAGAATACACTGAAGACAGAGATGACACACATCCTGGGTAGGTCAGACCAGGATAGCATGAGACTTTATCTGCTACTCGGGTGGTGCATGATTTAAAACTTATTATTCACATCCGGAATTTTCCATTTCCTAATTTCGGACTGCAGTTGACCACAGGAAACTGAAACTATGGAAAGCAAAACTGCAGATAAGAAGGGACGACTGTACTTTCTAGTGGGGGAGGAGACAATAATGAATGAATAAACAGACACATACAGAGTGATACCAGGTGTAACTAAGTGCAATGAATGGGGGGAAACTGTGGGAGGGGGCAGAGTGACATAGATGTACGTTACATGGGGTGGACAGAGCCAGAATGAGCAGACCCAGAATGTCTCTCCTAATCAGCAGCCTCTGCATTCTTTCTCATCCCCCGTTGCCTTTCATCTGTGATATTCTTTAAGGATGAAAGTTGACCTAATCTTTCACCACTAGTAATGGTTCCATTACTAGTTCTAAAAAGCATGGAGTGGATTAGCTTCCAGTTTGGAGTAAGAGTGACACGATAAGGAGACTGGCCACACATAGTCCAGGACAAAGGAAAATGGCACATAAGAGCTCAGGATGTGACTGAAGTTGCCTGAGGCATACCAGGGAGAACTTAAATGTTTGACCCTTCAACAGGATGTCCAGTGAACAGCATTTTAGCCTCCTGCACATTCAGAGCACTAATAGCAAATTGAAAAACACATACTTAGAAGAAACCCATAACTATTTACATTATTTTTATGAGTGCTTATTTTTAATTAAATTTATTTCATTCTTTCCTGATCAGTAATTACTTTATTTTTATTTGTTCATTTTATTTTTGTATTTATGTATTTATTTAGTAAATTAGTTATTTTGGGGGGGGGGGTTCCAGGGATTGAACTTAGTGGCACTCAACCACTAAGCCACATCCCTGGCTCTATTTTATATTTTTAGAGACAGGGTCTCACTAAGTTGCTTAGCACCACACTGTTACTGAGCCCACTCATAATCCTCTTGCCTCAGCCTCCTGAGCCACTGGGATTGCAGGCATGCACCACCATGCCCAGCTATTTGTTCATTTTAGATTTATGTGGCAGTAGAGTATATTTTGACATATTTATACAAACATGGAGTATATCTTATTCTAATTCAGTTAATGATGGTGAAAAATTTAAATCTTCTATAGCAGTGGAGTCATTAAAATCTCCTACTGTATTATGAAATCTCAAGTGTTTTTCCCCATCTCTCAATATCTCCATGTGAATAGCATCTAAATCTTAACTATTAATCATCTTAAGTATAAAGTTTTACTCACAATTTTCAGTATTAAATTCTACCTTTTCATCTTAAATTTTGCTAGAAACATTCCTAAAATGAGGGAGGAGAAGGAATAATGCAACAAATACCAAGGGGTTTGCAAATATAATGTGAAGTTATTTCAACACTTGCAAATACCAATGGTCTAATGTATTTAAATGAACACTATGTGAGAAAAATGGATTCTGGTTGGCTCCATGGGCCTTGTATGTTCTACTCCATCCCCTATTTAGACAGGAACTATTTCTACCAATTATAATAAGCAAATGGAATAATGTGATTTTCAGGCCTTATAAGTCACACTTTAGTTAATTTTAAATTCTTCTGCTTAATGTATGAAATTATGGTAAATTTATTCATTTTAGAAAGTGTTCTACAGTTATTCTCTGCCCATTTGAACCTTTAAATTAAGGCAATTAAGTTCTATTTGCATTATTATTTCTGCTATAGACATGTGATTGAATTTTATCAATTTCTCCCCTAATAGCTGAATCCTACATATCCCTATTACACTTAAAATTATCCTTTTCTCCTTCTTTGTTCCACCTTTAGCTACTTTCCAGCTTTTCTCAGATACTAGTAACAATCTCACTCCAAAATACAGATTGGAAAATCCTCCTCGCTCTCAATAAGCTTTTTGCTTTGACCAGTTCAAAAATCATAGTTTTCTTGCTTGTGTCTTTTCCAGATATTTAAGTCATAGGTGAATTGAATTTATTCTAGTCATTTCCATACAGAGCCTCCTCCCAAATTTTGTATTATAGAATACAAAGGAGACAATCTTAATACATATATATATATATATATATATATATATATATATATATATATATATGACAATCTTAATACTTCCACTATATATGGAAGTATTAAGATATATATATATATATATATATATATATATATGACAATCTTAATACTTCCTGTCACTTAAGTCACATATCAGGACTTCTGGGTTTTTAATTTACTTAATAACCAAGAACATGCATGTTAGCCTAATTTACATTATGCTTTCCCTGTCTGGCACAGAATTCCAGGAAACGTATACATCCAACAAGGAGGAGCAGTTCTATAAGGCTATGCCATTAATTTTTCCAAGTCATTTAATTCCATTTGCCCTTCCCCTTGGTCAGTCTCTTTAAATCCTTTCTCACTTTCACATTTGTCCTTATTTTCTTTCCTACCAGATCACACCTGACCTTTCTCTCGGTCTTTTTTATTTCCCTGAAGCAAATTCTGTTAAGTTCTCAGCTCTCTATTCGATGCCATATCTGGGGTTGTTTACTAGTGTTTAGAATAATCTCCTACCCTGATTCCACAGTCTTCATCTTCAACTACCTTCCGTAAGCCCATTTCTACTGGGAGGTTCACTATGCTGCTTTTCCTGCCAGATATGTTCTCTAGCCCTCATTTTCCTGAATGCTGCCCTGGCCTGGCCACATCAGAGTGGCAACACTCTAGGATACAAATGCTATACTTCCATTTCTTCTAAAGTACCATATCTAATCCTAAAAACAACATCTTCCATCAAACTAATCTTTCTTAACTCAACATCAGAGCCTATTGTCCAGATCAACATCCAGATCTGTGAAATCAGTTTCAATTATTCCTTGAGGTATTTTTTTCCAAATTTTCTAGAAGTTCTAGGGCCCAAAGACCTCCAGAAGGTAAAAAGGAAAGGGAGATATTTCTTATAATAAAAGGATAAAAAAAAAAGCCATTGCACACTTTGGTTGGGTCATTTTGTGCTAGCTGTGAAAGGGCTGACTCTTCTTAAGATATAGAAATGAAAAGATGGGTGATTTAATAAAAAGTTCTGAGGCTTCACTAGTCTTATCTCTCATCCTTTTCATTTTCAGAGATATTTTGAAGGGAGTTCACACAATAGTAACAAATTATCATCAGCTTGGTCCTCTAAAAGCTCAGGCAATCCAAGTTATTTTTTTGGTACTTCATCTTTAAGAAGAGTAATTATTCCAAATATTCCTCCAATTTCCAATCACTCTATAATATGTGAACAGACTCAAAGGTGTTATTTTTTCATATGTGTATGAGTACACATATAGGGCAATTATTCTCAACCTAATTTTCATTCCATTTACATTCAGAAAAGAAAAAAGGTCTCTATATTTTCAGGGGTTGTCTATAGTATTTTGTTTTTATGGAAACATTAGAAAAAGGGAGCCAATTATGCAAGACTCCACTTAGTTTTGATTGCCTTAAAATACAAACTGCTGAGGTTTTATAGGCTCACACTAAAGAAAGAAAAATACTTACCACCTAATTCCAGATATCTTGTAACTTATGAACCACCAGACATAAAATCATTGAGTCTCCAGGGCAAAAAAGAACCTAAAGTGGAAACAAGGAAATCAAGCCAGTCAATAACAAACAAAAATAAAAACTTTCATTCCTGAATAAGCCCTTTTTTGAAGTTTAACAGAACTCACCCTTTTTTTATTTATTTGTTTTGGTTCCGCCTTCGTGTGGCCAGAACCTTCCTATTCTTCATTACTAGTGGTTTTCCTAACCCAACTAACACTTAAGGTACATTATTTACCAGGCAATGATAGGGCTTGATTTAAAAAATTGAAATGACTTTTTTGTTACTTACTCACTTGAGCCACAGTCACATACTCAAATGCCTCTGGAGCTGGACAGACTGCCCATTGCATTGTGCAGCCAGAAGTCATGGTTCATCCACACCACTTTGCACATTAGGCTGAACTGGGGATAATAAATAAATAGAGCTGGGAAACACAGTGGTACTATGGCAGGTAAAGTAAATGTTTAAAGCATCCCTGAACAAAACAGTAAGAAACAGGCCCTGTCGTCACCCTGGAGGGCATACGACCCTGCCAACGAAGCAAATGCAGATCTGCAAGGACATTTTAGACTGCAGGTCATGTGCATATGATATTATTCTAGCATATTTGATATTATGATATTATATAGGCATACTTGCAAATAACTATAATGTATCTCCTGTATTATTAAAATTATCATATTCCAGTATCATATCTATTTGTTGTGGATTTTTTTTTTTATTCTCTCTCAATCATTCAATTTTAAGGAGAATTTTAAAAGTTAAAAAAAGCAGTTAGGGCAGTGATGTCAATCTTATTCCCAAAGGAGTTGAATCCTTTTTTAAAATATTGCTTATTGTTATAAAAATATAATAACAGATCTGTGTTTCCACAGCAACACATAATTTTTCTGATCCAAATGAAGTTATGACTTAGTGTAAGACATTCTTTGCTTCTTTGCTTCACTTCCTCCTGCCTATACCTTCCCAGCAATCACTCCATGAAATGCAAGTTTGCACAGTGAGTGGGCAAGGCATTCTGCAAAGTGGCATGGTCCTTACGTACAAAAAGCTTGCAGTTTAGACAAGTAACAAATAGGTACACAAAGGACTATAGTTGAGAGTCATATGGAATTAATGTGCTAATAGGTACAAAGACATGGGAGAGATTTGGGGATATAAGAAAGGCATTGAAAATGTTCCTTAAAGATGGACCAGGACAAAGCAATGTAAGAAAGGAGTAGACATGGGGCATTATACCAGTGTGGATAAGAAGGTAAGAAAAGCTGGTCCTATACGACCCAGGTGGCTGGATCTCACACAGTCTAGGGAAGCATACATAGGATGGTGAGATTATGAGAGAGATGAGTTGAGCCCTTACCTTCTTAGATTCTTTTCCTTTTTCCAGATTTTCTCTCCCTCCCAACCCAAACCTTTAAATTATGCAGCCCAGAGCCCAGTCCTTGGACTGCTTCCATTTTCTATTCACATTTACATCCTTAATAATCTTACTCATTCTTTAAATACTGTCTTTATTCTGATAAGTTCCAATCTCACAATTCCAGTGCATACCCTGAACTCCAGACTTGTCTATCCAGTTGCCTGCATACCATCTATACCAAAGCCTGACAGGCATCACAAAATCAAAGTGTTTTCCAAGTCTGTTTGAGCTGCTATAACAGAGTACCACAATTTATTTCTCACAATTCTGAAGTCTGGAAGTCCAAGATCAAGGCACCAGCAGATCCACTGTTTGGTGACAGTGTAATTCTTGATCAGTGCTTTCTTACTATGTCCTCACACTGTGGAAGGTGAGAGGCATCTCTCTGGAATCTCTCATGATTGCACTATCCCATTCATGCACCGTGACCAAATCATGGCCCCAGCTCCTAAAAACCATTGCACTTGGGCGGGTGGAGAACAGGATTTCAATGTATGAATTTTGGAGGGGGCACAGACATTCAGTTTTGAACAAGAACTAAAACTAAGGTCCTGGTATTCTCTGCTGAACCTGTTCCTTCTCCATCTTCCCCCATATGGTTTGTTTCCTTCCAGAGCCTCAGTCTTGGGCTCATCCTTGACTCCTCTCTTTCTCTCATACCCACAAACAAGTGCTGGGAAAATCTCATATAATTTACCTTCAAAGTACAACCCAGATTTAACTACTTCTCATAGGTAGGTCTCTGCTTCTGCCCTTGCTCTCCTGCACACAGGATCCCCAACCCAGAAGCCAGAGGGATTCTATTAGAATGCAAGTCAGATCATGTCTTTCCTCAAAATGCTAAGAGAGCAGCACCCATCCTGCTCACAGCAGAGCCCCCAAATTCTTGCAATGGCCGTGCAAGCTCTCATTCACTCAGATTCAGCAAGAGGCAGGCTCCTTGCTCCTTGCAGTGCCCACCCTCTCCCTTATCACCCACTCTTCCTGGAGGCTCTTCCTCTGGATAACCAAGCAGCTTCTTGAGTTATTAAGTTGTTTTTCTTATATGTTCCCCTTTCTAGTGAGTCCTCCTGAAGCCATCCTGCCTAGAACTGGACTCTGCACTCTTCCTCTGACTCCCACAAATCTCCTTTTAAAATGTATTTTTCTTAGTCCTTATCACTCTAACATATGTAAGTTATACACTTATCTTATTTACTCCCAGCTCTCTCTGGGCTGTAAGCTCCAGGAGGGCATGAACATTTATGGATTTTGTTTAACACTGTATCTCCAGCATCTGGAACAGTATCACCTAGGTAAGAGGAACTCAGTACATACTTGGTGACTAAATGAATGAAGAAGACCCATCAATGGTGGTACAGAATTAGAAACCACTGAAGGTGTTTGAATTGAATCTGAAGAAAGAAATGAGCAACACATCTATTTCAAATATTGCACTAAACTTCTGAAGCAGAAATGGTATTGTGGGGGTGACAGTTGAAAACCAAACTGTCAGAAAAATTTCCATGACCACACCTCCATGATAATCACATCTCTTTGTCTCTGACTTGATTTCATCAAATCAGCTTGGCATTATAGAAACATAAGGACCTTAGGAAAAAAATAAATAAATAAAATTCTGGTTCTGATAGTGAATGTCAGTTTCATATTTAAAGGAGATTATAAATGAAATTTATATGGATTATAAGGATTAATAGCAATTATTAATCATAATAGGCAAGGTAGACCAGTTAAATGTTTCTCAAATATTTTGATCTCCAGATATTTTTATACCCTTAAAATATAAAGGATACAGCAGAAAACAGGTGTTTACAAAATCATAATCCTTTTGTTTTAATAATTAATTAGGAAAGACAGAGCACAACCAGTTTCCTAAACTTATCTGTTCATGTTTGCATAATTTATTCACTAAAATTTTTGCTAATATTATGGGTAGAAATTATCAACCAACATTTGATTACCATGATCAGCAATAAAATGTGCCACTACACAATTTCTTTTGTTTTGTGTTATTAATTTACCTGTGATCCGGGCTTTCAATTCTGTACCCATCTTCTGAATATTCCATTAACTCCCAATCCCTTTCAGTCACCCACCTCCAGCCAAAGTGAAACCAAAAACTTGTTAAATTAAAAATGCATTCATGTCTTATTTTGTACTTCTGTACTTCCCTCATTAAAAATGTTTTTAAAATTAGGTTTAAAACAAAAGAATCTAGGGTTACTACATCCCACTTCCTTCTGCCCATGTCAATTCTGTAAAAGGCAAGTTAGACCAGTTCAGTGTTTTGATCTCCAGATACTTTTACACCTTTAAAAATTATTGAGGATTCTCAAAGAGCTTTTGTTATTGTGGTTTATATCTATAAATATTTAACACATATAAATTAAAACAGAATTTTTAAAACAGAAGAATGAGAATACTTTCTGTTAGCTCTGAGAGCAAGGATGTCATCACACCTCACACAGCATCTGGAAAACTGTTGTATGGCCTGACTCAATGAGAGGTAAGAAAAGAACATCAAAGCATCACTATGAAATTATTTTCACCTAGTAAACAGTCTGACCGTGTCTTAGGAACACCTAGGGGTTCCTGGGCCACACTTTGAGAACCACTTGCTTTATCTTAATCTAGTAAAATATACACCCCAAATTCTGAGTGACATGCCACAGTGAAGTTTTTTTTGTTTTGGTTTTTGAGCTCTATGTGAAAGTCTATGTGATTTTGATCTGGAAAAGCCTTGTCTATCTTGTAGCTACACCATCTGCAATGTGTGGCTTTACCTCAACAAGGAAAGAGACAGATGGGAGAGGAAACTAATTGGCTCCTAACTGCCCAGACCCAGAAGCATACATGTCATGTCTACTTGAAGTTCATGAGCCAGAAATGGTCAGCCCCAACTCAATGCAAGTGGAGCCTGGCAAATTAGAAGTCCACCAGGTTTACCTCCTTTAAAACTTCTGAAACAGCACCCTTATAGTAAAAAGAATCAGAATAGCTGTGTTCCATTCAGTCTGCTAGGCAGAACCCAGAGTCCCAGAGTTCAGAGAGGCAGTGAGAACCCGAGAATGTCAGAGAAATTCAGTAAAGAGAAGTTCATTAAAAGGAAAAAGAAGTGACTGGATCCATTGGCAATACCTTTACCACACAGGACTCTTCTGATCTAATAGGTACTTGCCACCTATATGTCAGAAGCCACATTTTGGGTCTCAATCCTCCTAAACACCTTATGCTGTAGGCCCTGTTATTATATCAATTTTTAAAGTGGGAAAGCTGAGACATAGCAAGGTTTTGTAACAGTTCTACATGAGGTAGTTTAGCACAGGTGGGTCTGGGATTTGAGCCTAGATGTGTTAGACTCAGAACTGTACTTTTTGTTCTTTTATTTTTTAATTTGTTCTAATTAGTTATATATGACAGTAGAATGCATTTTGACACGTTGTACACAAATGGAGCACAACTGCTCCTTCCTCTGGCTGAACATACTGCAGAGTCACCCCTTTAGTATAATCATACAGGTATATAGGGTATTAATGTCCCTCTTACCCCACCATCCTTCCCATCCCCACACTCCCTCCCCTCCCCTCACTCCCATCTTCACAATCCAAAATTCCTTCATTCTCCTCCCTGCCATTATGGATTAGCATCTGCTTATCAGACAGTACATTCAGCCTTTGGTTTTGGGGGTTTGGTTTATTTTGCTCTTAAAAGCTCAGCTTCACAGTACTTCCCTGAGATACCCTTGCCTTGAAAAACTCCTTCATCACCACAAAGATTTTTTGGAAGTTTCATCAGGTGGTCTCTGTCCCCCAAAACTTGGTAAGGAGTATGTGACCACATATTCAGCAGCACCAATGTCACTTGATGAATTGACAGGCTTATAAAGGCTTCCTTTGCTGAGTTCTCATTCACTATGTCCTCACTGTTTCCCTTGAGTGGTCAAGGCATGGAATACATGGATTCTAGACCCATCTTTGCATG